GGAAAGAGGCCAGAATACCCAGCAAATCAGAAAGGGCGCAGCATAAGCCTTTCTCCTGCGACCTTTGCACATTAGCTTTCACGAGAGCTTCGCACTTGGCGAGGCACAGAAGAGTGCACACGGGCGAGAGACCGTTCGCCTGTAGTATCTGTCCGCGAATGTTCGCTAGACAGGATAAGCTCAAGCAACATCTGGATTCGCATTTGCAGTGGCCGAAGAGGAAGGGTAGCAGTCAGACGGTATCCTCGTTGCCGGGAAAGGGAAAACGTGGCAGACCACGTAAGGTAGTACGTTAATGGAAGAATGATTAAGAAAATTTTTCAAAAATAATTTTATAATTAGGTAACTGTACACGTTTCAGGTTAATTTAGAACAATCCGCGATGGAAGAGATTCTCAAGTTTGGCGAATTTAGTTCGCTATTGAATAAATCGCATTCCGCGAATTCGACGAATAAGAGCGAAAATGCTGGGAACGCCGCGGATGACGGCAAGAGGAAAGAAGCGCTTCAAGAAGAGGACGACTCGTCTCAAAGAGAAAAGGATAATCGTGGTTGCCAAGTCGAAAATGGTCAGGATATTGTTTAATAGAATCTTTTTTGCAATCTGGATTTAAATATTCGTAAAACATATTTTTCTATCATACAAAACCGCGCCGCGTGAAAGATCAACGCAACGTAATGAAGGAAGAAATCTATCGAGCTTCTACGAAAGGTCGTGGTATCCTTTTCTTCGAATTTATTTCAATTCAATGAGGATTATAAAATGCCTCCTTGTTCCAATCGGTTATATACGTATAAAAGTATGCAAAAAGTCACAAGAACACTCGCGCTATTACTGCGAATTGTTTAACGTAAGTACCTGAGATATCGACTACTAACGTTATTACCAAAGCGCACGAGCCTCCAAAGAATTTAGAACGGCATGAACGAGGGTTGAGAAAATCGATTATTATAATCGACTCGACACATCGTCACCGATCATTAGTATCAAACGATAAGAATCAAGGGATACCTGCGCTCTATTAACCCGACCAAATAATGTGAAGAATGGCGGCCTGACTTTCACTGTAAACAATCTCGGTCTCTCGATATATCATCGCCCAAGATACACACATTACCGTACACTTATAATATAATTTTCAATAAAACTCATACGATCTGCCAATTGATGGCCAACTCAATTCAGTCGAGTTAGATAATATAATAAGATGCATGGGATAATCTTCACGTATGGGGGCAACCGTGCAGCCTATTGTACGAAAAAGCGCATAAACGATCTCATCTCCTAACGTAAAATCTTACAAAAAGCGCATAACTTAATAGTGTAATAGCCAGAACGTATTACACAATGATGTCTGATACAGTGTGAGTCATGCCTACGTAGTAATATTTTGTCATACGCGCGAGTATATAATATGTCAAGTACAAATGTCCAAATATTAGACTATACGCGTACGATATTCTGTCACGTGACGGCGTAAATCAGGGATGTGCGAGTGCTCGCGAGTATTTTCCGCTAAATTTTCCGCGTATCCGATGCACATTCGGTTCCGATATCTTTAAATCGAATCGAATTTGGTAACGAATTTTGAAACTCTTTGGATACTCGAGGCATCTCGAGAGTGCTCGATATCTCGGCTCACTCGAATTTTATCGGAATGTACAATTTTATCGGATTTCCTCCTTGGTTTAAGAGTATTTTTTTTTTTTTTTTTTTTGACCTTGGAAGAAAAA